CTGGAAAATCAACACCGGTTGCATAGTGTACCTTTAAAACCTTAAAGTTGCATATTTGTTTTAAAGAATTACTGCTTAAGACATCCTTTTCTGACCTTTTACTAAAGTTGCCTTTTGTGATACAAATGTGCAGTCATACATATTATACTGGCTTTTACAAAGGGGTTTATCACAGCCTCTTAAATAGCACTAAAACAAATAGAACTGTGGGAAAAGCTTAAAAATCTGCTGATATAAAAAATTATAAAATGAGTTAACTCTGTCAGATACTCCGCCTTTTCTCTTCCCATTTTTTCTTTAAAAGAAAGCATCAACTTGGTGAGTTTCTGTCTGATCATTCGGTTGTAGAATAGCATGAAAGTAGGAAAAATTAGGATAATCCTGGTGAAGGTTAGGTATGAATACGGCTGACCATAATAACAATGTTTTAATGTCTTTATATGTTTTGGGTTTGAAGGAAATAATGGTGTTAGGAAGAAAGTGATTACTTTTCCTTTTTATATGAACATTTGACTAAAAACATTGCTTCTGTTCAGAATCTGTTTTACTAAAATAATTTGGTTTACCGCAGACTTAACCACCTTCTAAAACATTTTATTATTCTGATCGTCATCATGATCGATCTGAAATCTATTGTGCAGCAGGGCCTGGAACAGAGTTAGGAAGGGGTGACTTTTATACAGCCTGAAGCATCGAAACAAAAGGAAATCAGAGCTTTTGAAATCATAGTCATCAGATGGAAAACTGAAGGAAAAGTGTCTAACCTCAATAAAAACATGAGCCAACATTAATGCTGGAGAGAAGTCCAAATGAGCTTCAGCTTTCTCTCCTATTGTTATGAAGGGACTTCCACCTGCTCCACTTCCACTCACACAAAACCATTATGTAATCGACAGGCTTGCTGTGAGTTCAAAGAGGAAGTTCTCACAAAAACCCTCCCGACCAAAGGTTATAGATAGGAACCATATAAGTGGCCGATAATAACCTACTTTTTGAAAAGGAGGTGATAAAACCGCAGCCTGTATCAAGCTGAACACACCTTGCAGTAATAACAAACTATTAAACTAGAAATATTCTTTTAAATCGAATAGTTTGCCCTTTTAATGACACCTAACTTTCCTAATTCTCTCATGTACCTGATGGGCTCGACAAATCAGGTCCATATCATGTCTGTGGAGGAACTTTGTGACCACATCTGCACCGAAGGTGAAGGAGACGCCGCGGTCATTCTCGCCCCAGCCCAGCACGTCCTTGTCCGGGTCGGCCCACAGCAGGTCGCAGAGGAGGCCCTGGTCGGGAACGTCGGTGGGACGCATCACCCTTCTCACCTGCTCCATGGACTGGAGGTCGGGGGAAAGTCCTGGAGAGGATCAACACAGAAAACTTCTTCTCACCACTTTTCTTTTTTTATTCACATTTTCTTTCATTTACAGAAAAAAAAGTATCATTTAAACCCATTAAAAGCGGTTCCGCGGTCCAGACGCTAATCTTCTAAAGAGGATCAATAGAGATCTTAAAAATATTATAAACTTAAGTGTTAGTTGATTGAAGTTGTTGCAAAAAGTCACATTATTTCAGAAGTGAAATCAACCAAAAATGAGAAACATCCTGTTTTCACCCAGGACTAAGAGGACCCTTAAAGGTTAAACATATCGCCTAAAACAGGTTTTAAATTGGGCTTCTCTGTTCTAGTTGAAGCTCCTAAACATCCAGGAATGAATTACTGGTTTGAAGAAAATCCTAACTGTAAATAAAGCAGACTGGGTTCATCTAGAGTTTTTACCATGCCAACATCACTTAGGCTCACTGATTTATTAGCAACAATTTGAGTTCAAATACAATAGTTAATCGATTCATAAGAATAGGAGCTCAGTTTAGAAACCATCTTTGGCTACAGAAGTCCTCTATCCTCTCACCTGTTGAGTCAAATCACATGTTCACTCCATATTGCACTGATCCTGCAGGAATCATGTCAATGTGTATCTTATATATGGAAGACATATTTATGTCCTTCTTTCAACTTTCCCAAACATACAACCCAGCCAAGAACCATTTGTTCTGTTAAATAGAGGTTAGGAGCTTCATAGAAAAGATGTTTCATTCAATCTTGGATTGAATTGAAATCAAACGATAAAGAACAGATTTCCAATTTCTATGATCTGAATCAGAGCATTAACCCATGCTGAAAGTTTAACAAAGACCTGGGATTCTGATCTCAAGAGATGATCAGTGGATTCCATCTTAAATCTGATGAACACATCATCTACATCTGCTAAGCACGGTTTGATCCACCTAAAGGTAAATTATAGAGCTCACTCTACTAATGGCAGGCTGGCTGGCAAAGATCTATCCAAATGTGAGTCCATTAGAGGTCAGCTTGCTGTTGTGATACAAAGGTTCTGACTTTGTCTGAACGTCTCCAACTTTTGGATCCGTTTCCAAAGACACCAGAGGAATCTCATGCTGCCCTGCCATCATAAGACTATGTAATCACAGCCTTTAATCACACTCCTTGCAAGATGCTTGATCCCTTTAAGATGGAAAAAAAGCAAAGCTCCTGCATCCTTTTCTGATTCAGTCAACGATATTATAAGAGCTGGTATATACGCCGTTAAAATTATTCCAGGATATTTAGTGGAAGTATTGTTATACGGATAAAACTGACGATAAAAACACCCTTCATCGTTCTTGGAAGTTGTTTTTAGTTAATTGTATACCTTAAGTACCAAAGCAGTCATAGCCACAAAATTAAAATACTGCCAATAAAAAAACATATACATTTGCAATATGCTTCTTCAGGACACCAGTTCCATAAAGAAGTATGATTTAGGTTAATAAACATCCCGTAATATAATCTTATTTCATCCTATAGTAATAAAAATGTATCACTTTGTTAAATAATCGCTAATTAAATACATTTCATTTATAATGATGATAAACAATACAATAAATGTCCACCCCAGATGCCATGTTTGTTTAAAATCAAACTCAAAGGATACCCTAAATGTTTTGTCGGAGTATGGAGGACCTTTCTAAACTTTTACGACTCCTTAGGGGCCGTTTGTCAATGAAAAAGGTGGAAATCATACACAGCTGATCACAGCACTTCTTTCACTTTTTATTGTTATTATATTAGATTTTCTTATTCCCCATGTGTGATTTACATCCTATATAAACCTATGGATGGGTGGGAATGGCGGATTCACTGTGTCAATACATTTGCTGAACAATTTATTTACTCGTTCATTTTGTTATGAAGGAGTGAGCGGAATAGATCTACAAAGGTTCTGGATTTTTCATCTCTGTATAATACTACAACAATGTTTACAAAAAGAAGAAAGAAAAAGAACGTTAAAGCTCCTTCATGTGTTTTAGCTTATGTAACTGCATGTATGAAGCCAGAGGTAGAGATTAGCCGTCTGTGTTTACATATTTTGACTCCATGCAACTCACTGCCATTTTGTCTCAACCTTTGCCTCCATTTCTAGCTCACAGATTTTTCTAAACCAGCTAAATAAACCTATAAAAGCACATCAGCTGACAGTGAAATAACAATCTTATTTACCATGCATGTGTTGATGTGTTGACCTACAACAATCCAGAGATTTTCAAATGTTTTATAAAGACACTCACTGATGTATCTGTCCTGAATATCTCAAAATGAGCAGGGTAAAGCAAAAAAAAAAAAAGACAACATCCCAAGTCAACCAGCAGGTTCTGAATCAGTTTTTAAGTTTTGCCTGTATCCATGTCTGCTGATACGGAGAAAACGGTACATAAATAGTGTCAATTATACGCTTCTTTGACTGTGATGTTGACAGAAACAACAGAGCAGATATGAGAGACGAGTTAACCGTGTGAGGACAATACCTCCATGGCAACAGAAGATCTTCTCGTCAACAATGGCTGCGACAGGCAAACAGTTGAAGCAGTCGGTGAAGGTCTTCCACAGCTTTATGTTGTATCGCCTTTTACCTGCGTGAGAAGAAAACCGCCACGGATCGGTTCCAGTGTTCCAATCTTAAGCCTCCAGAAAACAAGAATATTATTTACTGAGATTAGGATGTTTATTTTTCCTCGACATAATCCTGCCTCTGATTAAGCACTTCGCCTCGGAGAAACAAACACCGTGAACATTTTCACACTGTCACGTTACAGCTGAACAGCTCAGAGAGTTTTATTAGGATCTGATGCAGCTGATTAAACCTTTGTCTGCCAGAACTGTGAAGTGGAAGGATTACATCGTTTCTAAGATCTTCTACAGATAAAATCTAAAAAGTGTGGCATGCAACCGCACTAAAATAACCTGTGTTTGTAGAAGAGAATAACACATCCCTGCATAACACATCTATCAGCGTGGAACACCTTGAAGCTGAATATTTTGCACATTCTTCTTTGCAGAAAAACTCAAGCAAAATCAAACAGGATTATCTTTCAATATTAAATGATTAAAAAAACAGTCAACATTTAAGACTTAGCACAAATTCTCACTAGGATTTATGGATTTTGATTAGGCAAATCCTAAGCAAACATGCTTTGATCTTAACTACATCATGGTAGCTCTGGTTGGATAGTTACTGTACTGGAAGGTGGACCGCTGCAACTTTAAACAGGTTCTCCTCCAGAAATATTCTGTTTTCAGCTCCCTGTCTTTTCTTACAGCATGGTATCAGGCACTACATATGTGGATGATGCTTAAACTAAACATCTGATTAAAGATTCAGTTCAAAAATTGTAAGAATGTCAAACTTTTTCCATGACTTACACTCATCATAGAAGCCATATATTCTGTTAATTGAGGCGCATTCGTGGTTTCCTCTCAGCAGAAAAAAGTTTTCTGGGTATTTGATCTTGTAGGCCAAAAGGAGGCAGATTGTCTCCAGGGACTGCTTGCCTCTGTCCACATAATCGCCCAGGAACAGATAGTTGCTCTCTGGCGGGAAGCCTCCATATTCAAAGAGCCTGAGAAGATCATAGTACTGCCCATGAACGTCACCTGAAGAGAAAAAGCAGGGTTCAGTTGGATTTAGATTCAACTCACTGGAGCTATCTAGATAAGATAAACAGAAACAGAATATTAAACTAAAATGAATGGAATCACAGACAGATATTCATATTTTACAACAACTTAGTTATTTTTCTGTTCAAGAAACAAGCATGTGTTTATTATGGACAGGAATGACCAAGTTATAACAAGGAGATGTATGGTTAGTTGCAATAGCACCAGGACACGACTAACATTTCTTAACAAATGCAAACTCTATGGTGCCAGACAAAATATTTCATCATATATATGCTTACAGCTGACTTTGGAAGCCTTTAAAGATAATTATATAGGAATATAGGACGCACTGTAGTTTACAGGGAGCACACATGAAAGTGGTCAAAGGTTGGATTAACCTGCTCCATATTAGCAGATTAAATTGTTAAGAAGCTGGCTGGAGGTTCAACACTATCTTCCATATTTTACAGTAACCTTCACTTAAAGTGATCCCTTTCTTTTTATCAATGGAGCTTTAACTGATTTGAAGATGTGTCCTTGAATTTAGTGCTGTGGTGATTTTTCTTTTTTTTTCCTGCAGTGGCACCAAAAGCTCACTCACCTTCTGAACTTTACACAATGTTCCTATGCAGTCGCACTAAATGGTGTCATCAGCACAAAGGCTCAGGAGAACAAGTCCAAGGAGACTCTCACTGCAAAACACCTCGGCAGTGGCACGCCAAGAAAAATGACTCACTGCGTAATTTTAATGAGGCGAGGTCAAATCAAACGCTAAGTTCCGTTCAGCAACTATTTTGAAAACAGTTTCTACCACTGATGAGAAAACAATTGTGATGCTTAAAAGAGCTTCATAGCATGACTCCAGGGAGCTACGATAACCATAATATTAAACTGTGTGAAAATGACCCCTGACCCACAAGAGAATAACTTAGGCTTACCACAAATCTTAAGGGGCGCCTCCAGTTCCAGCAGGATTGGCTGGCTGAGGAAGATCTCCCGGGACTTCAGGCAGAGGCCACGGATCTCATTCTCTGTCAGCTGAACGTTTTTACCTGGTCTGGATCCTTTCACTTTGGAAACAAGAACCACATAAGACAAAATAAGGAACAACGACTTCCACTGTGGTGGAAGGAACAATACTAGGGCCTACTTTTATGCAAAGTAGGCCCAAAGATGTGAATAGTTGCTTGACATCTGCGTAAAATAAATCTGATTTAAAGGCAATCGCTATTGAACATGTTATTATGCACCAAGTAAAGAGTTGGTCACAAACCAGTAAAACAGTTTTAATATCAAATATCCTCTTGTACTTCCTCCAAATTTCTGTTGGATCCAAAACTCTGGTCTTTTTTTTAATGATACAGCGGGTATGGTTAAAACCTCAATGTCTGAATCTGCATCATCCTGGAGAATCGTGCATCATGCATGTCTACATTTTTATTGACACCTGGATTATTTCTTAAAGGACCTAAGAAAAATTTTAGAACAAATTTCAAAACTACTGATGCCGCTAATAGCCTCATGTGTCTCTAAAAACAACAATTCTAATATTTCATGATCAGAATTTGTGATATTTGAATATCTGCAAGTTAAAATATCAGGGGAAGTTTTTATGTAAATAAGAAAAAATTGCATTGAAAGTATTTAAAGTGAATTAGAGTCATGGATTGGTGATTGGAGCAGAAAGGGTGATGCTTGCAACCTGTTGAGATCTCCGATATTAGTTTAATCTATTTAAATCTTGCTAAAATACCAAACAACACAATGGAATTGTGAAAAAAAATGTACTAAAAAAAAAGAGATATTGTCATTGCATACACTAAAAAAAAATTCTAATTTTGGGAAAACCTGCATCTCGCATGTGAAACGCATTTATGAGGCGATTAACAAGAAAGATGCACCTAATCATCACTGACTCCTTAATTTGAAAACAAATATATATCACTTTTTTAATGTCACTCCCTTTTTTCTTTTAGAAGCTCACAGGTCAAAGTGAAAATTCTTACAATTTTTTAAATAGATCAGAAACTTTTACGCTCATATTTTCATGATCACAATGAGAAGCAAATTTCTAGCCTTACTAATTATACTTTTTAATAATAGAAAATGTTTAAATTTGGAATAAAATAAATCCTGATTTTTATTCCTGTTAATAACAGAACTATGCTAATACCTTAAATTATTGTCTAACAAAAAAATGCAACATATTTCTATATGAAATTTAATTTCTGTTAAATCCTGTTTCAAATTCTTAAATATAAATATTCAAAATTTGTTTTTATTTTATTTTCTGGGACTACATTTGATATCGATTAGTAAACACAGCATTAACTCAAACAACTGAATAATGAAGAAAATTCATCAAAACCTTGCAAATATTTCTCTGAGAGAATAAGAAATTTATAATACACTTAAAATGTGCATGTTTATGGTTCTGGGTATTTTTTAAATATTAAAAAAATGACTAAACAATAACCATTATGCTGACTTTCTTAATTTCTGATATTTGTACCAATCAATAAATTAGAATCCGATCTGTAATGATCTGTAATGTGTTGATCCTGACTTTAGTAAAAGATGGTTTCCTTCGTTTAAGTGTAAATTTAAGTATAACGAAGCACACTACCTAGATAGATTCATTATGTTTTTCAATGGTAAGACATTAAAACAATGAGTTTTATAAACCTCTATACAAATCTAGTTGATCATCGGGCTCGTGCACAGTTTCAAAATTCAGCTACGTTTTCAAGCCGCTAAAGATGACTAACTGGGTTAGCTTAGCATTGGCGGCTTCCCTGTTGTTAAAATGGCACCTATGTAAGGGATAAATGTATACTCTGGTTCTTACCTTCAAGCAGGCGCTGTATAATGGAGTCGATGTTCAGCTTATCGGCTTCCGCCATTTTATCCCCCTATATTTTTATATTGTAGTATTGGAGAAAATAGAGATGTGGAGGCTACCGAGTTACCGTTAGCTTAACTACTTTAATCGGCTATCGCTAGCGCGCTAGCTCACTAACCTTGGGGAATAATTGTCAACCTCAAAGTGTGAGGCCGGGAGTTGAATAAATGGAAGTGTAATGGCTGACATGTGCTGCAAGAAATAAAAATCGTCAAATATTTGTCAGTAAATATCTTTGTAAGCCTGTAGATGTTGGTATTTCTCCCGTGACAACCTCGCTTATGCCGCAGAAACTAGCACCATGCAATCGACAAAAAAAGGCTAGGGGAGCGTTAGCTGGAAGAGATGGTTAACGGAAGTAGGCAACACTGTTTTTGAGCTGTGATTGGTTAATTTTTTGAGGTAGGCGGTACCTATGGTGTTAAACCTTCTCTAGGATTGGCTGTGCTTGAAGTTTGTCAGTATTTGCTCATCAGCTTGAAATAAAAATGGAGTAGTTCTCAAGTACGGCAGGTTGTACTAGCACATAATCGAAATTACATACCTGGCAAATTACTTTTCATAAATATCCTAAATAAAACAATAATAATAATACAAACCCCAGCTAAGACTGACAGAAATAGTATTGAGCAATCTCTATTTTATATAACAGTACTCAATTTGGAACATTTCTCTGTAATTTAGTTTGAATGTTAAGTATTTTATATTTTGGTGTCCTCTAATTATTATTATTATTAAATTATTTACATACACATAAGCCCTTACACGGGATGTACCACCAGAACATAACCGAAGTGGCCTATATCAGGAAATCCTACCAATGGCTAGACAAAGCCGGACTGAAGGACAGCACAGAGGCATTCATCATTGCTGCACAAGAGCAGGGCCTGAGCACCAGAGCAATAGATGCCCAGATCTACCACACCAGAAAAGACCCCAGGTGCAGACTGTGCAAAGAGGTTCCTGACACAATCCAGGATATAACTGCAGGGCGTAAGATGCTGGCAGGGAAAGCTTACATGGAGCACCATAACCAAGTGGCTGGAATAGTATACAGGAACATCTGTGCAGAGCATTGGCTGGAAACCCCAAGGTTAATGTGGAAAACACCTCCAAAGATGGTAGTGAATGACTGAGCCAAGATCCTGTGGGGCTTCCAGATACAGATGGACCGAATGGTAATGGCAAACCAACTGGACATTGTGGTGGTGGACAAAAAGCAGAGGAAAGGAACATGCGCATCAGGAAAAAGGGAAATGAGAACCTAGAGATATACCAGGAGCTCAGAGAAGAGCTGGAGGAAACCTGGAAGGTCAAGGCAACAGTGGTGACCATGGTCATTGGGTAACTCGGGGCAGTGACCCCCAAACTTGCGGAGTGTTTATGCAGATCAAGGGAAATACATCAGACATCTGGGTCCAGAAGAGTACAGTTCTAGGAACAGCAAAGATACTTTCCCACAATAGGGAAATTCACTCTCTGCATTGGAGCCATCCCCGTTGGAAGCAGTGGGCTGCCATTGTGTGGTGCCCGGGGAGCAGTGTTTTGTTAGGGATTTTGCTCAGAAACCCAAAGTGGAGGCTGTGGGGATCAAACCGGGTACTTGCAACTTCTCAGAGCACAAGCGGACTGCTCTAACTACTAGGCCAAAACTAAAACACAAGCTATGAAAAAACCTTGGAAAAAAATAGAATGAAAAAAAAAGTATATCATTTCATGCCTGATATACTGAGTAGGTTTCCATAATGAAATAAATACAGAATTATTAGAAATCAAATATGACGCAAAACCATATTTTCTCTAACTTGCCTTTCTTTCCCCCCTTTTATTGTGTAAACTGTAACCATACATTTATATTTATTATATCTGCTCTCAGGTTTATATATAGTTTTGTTAAATTTCTTGATTCTGTGGTGCCTTGTGCATCATGTTTCATTATTATATGACTAAATGTCTTGCCTTACAAACGCTCACGGAAGTGACCGAAATGGAAGGTCGCATTTTTTGGTGACGCAGCGCCTCAGCGCCTAGCAATATGAACCAACCGAGTGATTCATTCTAAAGTTAAGACATGGCTTTTTCTTAGTTAGTGCTCATATTGACCTAAAAATGCATCTGACTTGCTTCCATTCGAACCTCGGTAGTTTAGGTTAATTCCTCTTTTTTAAATGTTATAATCGTCCAGCCATGAAGTTGCTGAATAAAGACATTGAGAAAGATAATGCCGGGTGAGTGCTAATGTTAGCAAGCTACTAAGCATGCTGTTTTCTAAACGTGTCAGCGGAGATAAAAAGATCACGTTTAATCAACACGGATCATTTTTAATTTCAAAGTCAAAATGAAAGTATTAGCAAGGTGTGCTTCGTTTATGTCACTGCTATAGACTAAACGTTGCTATGATTAAGCATAACAACAAACCTAGGTGCGCCTTTATTACAGCATCAGTATGACTATGCACTAAATAAAATCTAGTGTTTGTAGCATCCTCTTTCTCCAGAAGGGGGAATTGATTCAATAAGCATGTTTGGATTTGGTTACCAGTTAACAAAGTAATGATCCACTATCCCAGGCAGGTGACCCTGATGCCAGAGGAGGCGGAGGACATGTGGCACACCTATAACCTGCTCCAAGTGGGGGACAGTTTGAGAGCCTCAACCATCAGGTAATCACAGGGCTGTCAAGCTCTCACCCATTGGGAGTGAGACTCGCCCATCTCAGTGTCTTCACACGCTCTCACTACATATTCCCAATTTCTCACACTAAAAGATGATACATTAAAATCAGAGGCGGAGATGGATGGGGGGCCAGGGGTTGCCATGGCCACCCCAGTTTTTCCTCCCATCTTATACAGATGATGGCAGCAGTGATACTCTGAAGTGTTTCCTGGACGGGGCCACCTTTTACAGCTGCTTTTTGTATCTCTGCTTCTGTCTCCTTGAACCCCAGTTGGCCTCGGCAGATGGCCGCTCACACTGAGCCTGGTTCTGTTGGAGTTTTCTTCCTGTTAAAAGGGAGTTTTTCCTCTCCACTGTTGCTCAAAGCATGCTTAGTGTGAGGGATTGCATTCGAGTCAACGAGTCGATGCAATCAACTGGTTTTCCTTAGATAGAAAACTTTGACTCAGTTTGACTGTATGATCTAGTGAACTGTAAAGTGCCTTTAGATGACATGTGTTGTGAATTGGTGCTATATAAATAAACTGAATTGAATTGGTTAATTATGCACATCAATATACTAACATCAAAGATGATAAGTACAGAAGTTATCAAATAATTAATTTATGTAGATATTAGTGCTTGTAAATATAAATTTTATGCAGAATGTTTATTGATAGAAGTAGGTAAGTAATGAGAATGGAAAAGATTTACGAGTTTTATCCACTATACCTTTTATCTAGAAATTACAGAGTTATAGTTATAGTTAGTTATAGTTCGTTTTATTTAGAAAATATGGATGTTTTGCTCGTTAATTTTCCTGTTGGAACAGTGTAGATTGACCCTGAGGTTCTGGTGCCTATCCACTCCCCCCCCTCAGTGTACAATGGTTATTGCCTGGCCACCCTTATGAAAAATGTTCTGGCTACGCCTCTGATTAAAACTCAGCTCCGTTCCACTTGTTTATGTATACAAAAAATACCATGGTGATCAAAATCCAGTCCACGTTTTTAATATAACCTTAGTGCTAACAGACAAGGACCATGTTTTGCTCACAAGTTAAATAATTATTACTGTCTAGTTTAATAATCTCCCGTTGGCATTTAGGAGTAATTAAACTAACACAAATATTTAAATTCTTAAAGCTTCCAGGTTTGCGTCTCAAACCCACAGGAGGTCCATAAAAAGAAAAAGAACCATTGCGTTTTATTTTTCAAAAGATCAGCCATTCAAGAAAAGACCAACCACATCCAGAGAGGATGTGCAGAACAGCTCAGTTATCCAGGATTTATAGAGGAGAAACCACAGGGATGTTGTTCTTTTATTATCACTTATTCCATTACTTATTCCATTGAATATGTTTAAAAACTTTATTTCCATCACACCTTCCAAATGAAACATCCTGAGAAGTGCTGTCTGCTGTCATGGTGAGATTTTATAAAATCCACCGCCTCCTAGAAGGTCTGACTTGTTTAGCCATTTTGTCAATTGTAAGATTGATTGTAACTAATAAGATAATGAATGAAGCTTTTTAATCCTTAGTCTATTACCAAATATTCATACAGAGTGTAGTTTGCATAGGTTTCGTTGCACTGGTTCCTGTATCAGTGCCAGTAATCCAGTAATAGCGTGTTAGTTCCACATTGTTTAATTTACTTGAACTGCAGAGAATAATTAATGAACAAAGTTGTTAAATTCTTAGTTTAAAGTATATTAAAAATGCAAGTATTGTAGTAGGACCCATTCTGCTTTACTTTAATTCTCTAAAAATCACCAGAATGTAGAAAATAATGTATATTGTGAGAAAAATGTTCCACATAACTATGGATTACTTATTGTTACTCAGTAACATTTGCTCTGCTATAAAAAATTCACTTTGTTTCAATTAAATCCTCTGGAAACCTCCAACGTATAGCTGCGCCTATCCTCATCTAACCTTGACAGGATTTCCTGTCCAAACTATTTCGAAATCTCACCCCAAGGTTTGGTGGAAAGTTGGCAGCCCTGTAATCATTAACACCCATTAAATCAAGCTTTACAGCTCATTAAAAGTGTTATTTTCTAATGAAGAATTTTAGGGGTTTTAGTTTACTTATTTCTGTCTGCCATAAAATCTCTACCCTGCCACTTAATAATTGGTAAAATTCTCATATTTTATATTTAAAAATGTGTAGAAGCTGTTATATTTATTTTTATAGATAAAGTCCATGTGTAGAAATGGATCTTATAAACCCCAACTGAAGTCTCTGACTCCCTCTTACACAGGAAGGTGCAGACTGAGTCCACTACAGGAAGTGTGGGCAGCTCCAGAGTCAGGACCACTTTGACGTTGTCTGTTGAGGCGATCGACTTCGACTCACAGGCCTGTCAGCTGAGAGTGAAGGGCACCAACATTGAAGAGAACCAGTATGTCAAGGTCTGAGATTTTTTTTTCTCTTCTATTTAATGGAAATCATGCATGCACGTATGATTAACGAAACAGATTTGAGATGTGATGCTTGCATTTTGGAATTTTTTACTATGAACAAACGGCATATAATTAAAGGAGCTTCACAAGTGGGTGAAAAAAGCTACTATTTAGCTGCAGAAACATCAACACCCAAGAGGAGACTGTCTGAAAATAAATGAGGGATTCATAAGCTATTTTGGACATTGCCTTATATGGATAGATAAACATCAA